TCCGTGTCAGTCCCATACTTCAGGAGCTAAGATAAGCTGGGAAGTTCAAGGGATTGGAAGTCTGAGACATAGATTGTCCTCATGATCAACAAATGAAAATGTAAGAACCATGAGAAAAGATTTGAAATGGGGTAAGTATGCTCTACCTCTGCTGTGGATCTGTGAGTGGGCATGTCTGTAAATTATTTATGTGATTGGAAAGTTATTTTACCTTCATTTTTGAAAGATAAGATTCATTCTTCTCCCCAATAAATTTTGCTGTGGATGCTTTCCACTGCAGTTTTGTATCATTAATTTTGTTTTTCAAAGAAAGAGGCCCTTGTTCTAGTCTTTACTTTATAGCTTTGTTGGAAATGTCGTTCCATAGTAAGTCTGCTCAGCAAATTTGGGCCAGACTTCCCTACTGGTGTTCCATAAGCCTGGCACTCTTCAGCTATTACAGAACTAGGAGGTGAGTACATCTAGGGCATCTGCATCTGGGCAAGCTGCACAGGACTGTAACCTCAGGGGCTCTGGGCCTGAAGCTGCACCAGACTGGGATCATGTGGCCACCCCATGGGGCACAACCATGGGGCATACCTAATGCCCAGGGCCGGGAGGACTTCCAGTCTTCCCGTAGTATTTGAAGACTGAGTCTATTGTGCTTGGCTGGTGGCTCATTAGGCTGGAATTTCTGTCTGACAGTTACTTTCTAGTTGTTTTCATTCTAACTTGTAGAGAAGCAGGCAGTGCTGCTTGCTTCTAATCAGCCATTTTATGCAGACTATCTCTTTTACATTTTTATTTGTAACTGTAGTGAATTGTATGTCTCAAAATATATTCCTCGTAGAATAAAAACAGCTCTAGCAGTGAAACTTTATTTCAGAGTCACATCTGGATTCATTTGGTTTTGGCAAAGGCAAGAGAACTTTCCAGAGCCTTGAGGAGACACCAATGTCCTGGCTTCAAAAGCTGAATGAGAGGCCATGGGATGGTGGATGAAAACAGGGACTCTAGCATCTCCTCCCCATCTGAGACTGCACCTGAGCACAGGAGTTGCAGCCTGAGGGCGGAGCTGCAAAACAGTGGAGGAGGGGCCAGACAGGAGTGGCCTGTGAACCTGGAAGCACCCAGGACAGAGGGCGCAGCTCCATGTCCTCTGTTAGACAGTGAGGGATGGTGCCTGACAGTGGGCAGGAGACCCAGCCAGGTGCCTTAACTGTGGGACACAGACCCTAGAAGCCACAGCCTCTCACACCGAGCTCCTCCTACAGCACTTGGACTTGGTGTGGTTTCCCTACAGACTGGCAGCCCTTCCAGAGGATCTAAGATGACACCTTGGACTAGTTTCCCCAGCTTCATTTCCCAGGTGAGGCCCTGCTGTGCACAGTGTTCTGTCAGTGTCGGTGTGTGACCTTCTATGAATCTGTCTTTGAGAATATGGCCCCTGCCCCCCAGCTTAGAGGATGGACTGTCTTCTCTTTCCATTGGAGGACTGACCCTTGGACACCTACTGATACCCCACAACAGGCTTCCTTCTTGGGCTCCCCCTGAGCTGCCCCAGCCTCTCTTCTGGTTGCTGTTGATGTAACTCTACTGCCCTCTACTGGTGTGGGGGACTCAGCAGGAGCTTTCCTCTTCCAGGTGGTGCCAAAGTGCTGGTCTCTGAGAAGGTGAAGACAGAGTCAAGTCTCAGTGCCAGCACAGGACACAGAGCTGTCATTTGCAGTGGGAAGGGAGGTCAGCAGCTCCTACAACCTTGTCCTACTGCTGAAATTCACTTTTTTGATGTTGAAAAAATGGAGAGTACATGTTAAATATGCTCTTTTAGAGGAAATATGGAAGTCCAGAAAAAATGTGATTCTCAACACTTGGTCCCAGAATTTTCATATTATTCAACTCAGAAACTGATGGTCCCTCCACCTGACTAGGGGCAGCTGTGGTAGTAGAGGAGACACCTGTTATTTCTCTCACTGAAGACAAAGAGCCCCTTAGATGAAGACCACCACTGCCATGTCAACATTTTGCTATCACTTTTATTTCATCACAAACCCTTCATTCATCAGGGCAGAGGTCTGCTGTCGCAGTCCAGGCAGAAATTCTGATGAAACTGGATCTGCTGCTTATCAAGACCTTCAGTTTTGTGTTCCCAGCAAACACAAACATTCCTATCTGACTCCTGTCCTTGGATTTCCAATAAGGAACAGAGATTCTAAGATCTGGGTCAGTGACGAAACACATGGAATCTGTTTCTAAGTAGTTAGACTCTTTCAAGGTTTTATATCATTTAATTTTAAAAAAAACAACAAAATTCTCATGGTTTGAACAGACATTCTCATGTCACTTCAGGTAAAGGTGAGGCCTGGAGAGACTCAGGTGCCAAGCAACCAGAGAGCAGTAGAATCAAGTCCCAGAGTTGAGCCAGGGACTCCTGAATTCAGGTCCTATGCTCTTTGGGCCAAAGTAGGACCAGGACTATGAGGACGAACTGCAAGGGCCAGGATGAAAGCAAGGGCTTCTGTCCACCCAGGCTACTGTTTTCCCCGTTTGGTCTGGCTGGTTCTAGGAGCCCTGCTCAGCCTGCAAGTGTTGTGTGCTTGGGGCTGTGCCCAGGTTGGAGCTGAAGAACTTGAGGAGAGTCGGGAGGCTGCTGTTCTGTGCAGGGCAGGGCTAACCTGGTTCCTGCTTTTCTGTCTGCACTGCTGCATGCTCTCCTCCTTCCTGAGCAGTAGGTGTTGGATGTCTCATGGCCATTTCTACTGTGTACTGCAGAGTCTTAGAAGACCCCCAGGCATGCAGGTTTAGAAGCCTGGGGTTCATTCTCAGAGATCCAATTAGCAGCACCCGCTGTGTTGAGCTCAGGGTCAGTGCAGGATAGTGAGCCTCAGTGCAGTATGTGGGAAGGACACGTGTAAGACTGTGAAGAAGGGAACAGGGGAGAGGTTCATGCTATAGTGGCGATGGCCCAGAGCTCTGCCTCCAATACCCACAGCCAGGAAGGGCTCCTTGTCCTCTATCGTCATCTCAGGCAGTGTGAGACTCTGTAGTTAGTGATCAATACTCTAAGCTGTTGCAGCTTTAGGTGGCTCCAGAGGGGCCCAGAGGACCCCAGTGTAGAGGAAAAGAGGGAGGCCATGGGTCTGTTAGGTCTCTTTTCCAGCACCAAAGATCTACTCAGATGGAGAAGATCCATCATCCTCCTGCTGCTTCACAGCTTATGATTAAGGAGTTAATGACTGGAGCTCATGCTCTGGGAGGGCCAATTGGATCCTAGACCCACTCTACCCTGCACAGAACTCAACTTCATTGTGATCATAAAACTAAGAGGATGATCCACCTTTCATGTGAAGAACAATGAACACATTCAGCTTTGTCCTCTTTACTGCCATCCTTTTAAATTTTCAGTCAGTTTTTGTGAAATTTAGATGCTTTAACATGTGTGCAGTTAAAAGAACGGAGAAAACTCATCATCAATGTTCAAATTGGTCTGTATTTCAAGTTTCATTTTGTACATTCATTGTAAACTTCAGGTGAGTGATGAGGAAGAACCAGGCAACACTAATTGGGAAACAAAGGACCTTTAGCATGTAGGAGATTTGGGCAGATGGAGTCAAGTGTGGCAGGAGGAGGCCTCGAAGATGACTCTCGGAGGCACCCAAGAGGTTCTTACCTGAGGCTGGGGTGGAGCACGAGCCTGTTAGGAATTCCTGGGGGATTGCTTGTGGGACTACTGAGTGAGTCCCTAGAGAACGCAGCTCAAACCCCCAGCACTCACTTTTCTGTCAAAGACGCAGATTGCTCAGGGGGTGTTTATCATGGTATCCCCCATGTCTGCCCTGCAGCTGGGTAGGTACAGAAACTCCTGGTCATGTCTGACCTCTTGTGCAGGGCCTGGCGTGGAACAGGGAAAAGGGCCTGGGTATGCAGGAGGTGGGGCCTTGAGGCGGGGCAGAGGGAGTTGACACCACGGAGGTGAAGGAGGCGGTGAGTAAGATGGGAGAGAAGTTGTCAGAGATGGATGGAGATGGACTGATGGAGGAGACTAGGGATGCTGCTCTAATAGGGAGTCCTGGCCAGGACAACCTACTTGCAGACCTTGGCCAAGCTGAGGATAACTTGGAACTGGGGGAGCAATTGTCCTCCTCTGTACCCCACCTAAGAAGTCATTTCAGGAGACTGTAACAGGGTCATGTGAATATGAGGGGAACTGGGTGTTTTATGACTGAGTGGACCCAGGAGCTCTCAGACACAGTAGAGATGTATGTCTGTTTCTCTCTACGAATCTCTCTCTCTCTCTCTCTCTCTCTCTCTCTCTCTCTCTCTCTCTCACACACACACACACCTCCCTCTCTTGTGTGTCTGCCTGCAGTGAGTATTTTTGTGCTGAGGCCTGAATCTACTTGCATCTTCATTATTACATCAAAAATACTGATGCCCTGGAGGGTGGGGTGTCAACAGTAAAGGTCACATTTTTTGCTTCCAAACTTTTATGAACAGTAAATCTCCACACAAGCACTTGCTTGCATTGAACATACAGTTTTGACCTGTGGAAATTATATGGTTATCAAATAAATCAAAGCTTCAAAACACTCTCCTTGTAGCCTCTGACCCCATGTTATTATGTCACAGTTATGACTGAAATCCACCTGCCTTGCAAAACCTGTGTTAACCTACTCACCTGCCAATCTCCATAACATAACATTTTGCAAAGGTCTCCCTATTATGATACTCTAAGATGATGTCAGTTAAGAGTTATTCTCCCTTTGTACCTGTAGACAATGTGCTGGGCTGAGAGTTTCTGGGCATAGGGAACTGGCAGTTCACCTCATTCCAAGTGTCAGTCCTGGTAACGATGGAATCAGCTGCACCTGGGGAGGACCAGGAACCTGCCCTGCCCCCATATCTCAGGAATCTGATGTCCCAGCAGAACAGACTAGAAACTTTGGCTCTACATGGCATGCTCTCTTCTGTCTCTGTGACTTGGGCATGGAGGGGCTATGGGAGCCAGGCTGGTGGCAAGTTTTTGTCTTGCTTCCTCATTTGCTTGTGTCATTGTGAGGATCAGTACTACTACCCCACACCTGACAGTAATAGTCAGCCTCGTCCTCAGCCTGGATGCCTGTGATCGTCAGTGTGGCTGTGTTCCCAGAGTTGGCACCAGAGAACCGGTCAGGAATCCCAGAAGGCCTGCTGTTATCTCTATATATGACCAGGATGGGGGCCTGGTCTGGCTTCTGCTGGTACCAGTGCACGTATTTATTGCCAATGTTGTCTCCCTCACAGGTCATCCTGGCTGTCTGTCCCGGAGTCACTGACACTGAGGATGGCTGCGTCAGCACATAGGAGGCCACAGAGCCTGTGGGGAGAGAGAAGCAGATGGGGGAGTAACAGTGAGAGCTCCTTCCCTCGGACACTCACCCCTGGGGTAGCTGGGATGAGCCCAGGGCTGGGTGGGAGTGTGAGAGTCCTGGGTATCACCTGTGCAGTGAGCAAGGAGGCCAATGAAGAGCGTGGCCCAGGCCATGGCAGAGGTGCTCGAATGCTCCTTCCTGAGGCCAAGACTGGGTGGCTTCCTCCCAGGCCTCTCTTATCCCCTTGCTGGAGAGAGCTGCCCGTTATGCAAATCAATCCATCTTAGGGCAAGTGCTGAAGAGATTTCTGGTGTCCAGAGCAGGGCTCAGGCTCAAGTAAACAGAGAAGTAGGGGGGCCCTGCAGACTGCCCTCAGCCTGGGTGATGCTCCTTCACATGTGAGTGCATATACAGGTCCAAGACACCCACCCTGTACTGCGTCCTGGCATTGCAGCTCAGCCTTCTGGTCATGCAGAGGTGAAAACTGGAGGTGGTGTTTCCCAAGCTGCCTGAAGGCCTGCCTGTGGGTGGTTCTGTCCTGGTGCTATGGACTGGAGACACACATCCAACTTTGACCAAGTCCAGGACTTTCCTGTGTTTGATCCTGGCTGGGAAGCAGGTGGGTTTGGCCTGAGTCAGTAGGGGAATCCTGTGCATAAATGCTTTCTAGCACAATCTAGATGTCAGCTCAGTCCTAGCTTCTTTTTAGAGGTTCCATCCCTGATCAAACTGCAGAGACTCTCCTGAAACTACCTTATGGGTGACAGCAAGAAGCAGACAGGAGCAGGATATTATCCAGACCACACAGCTTCTCAGTGGAGAAACAACAGAGGTCTTAAATGGAGGCAGGCATAGGAATGCTCACCTGTGATCCCAGTACCCTCAGAGGATGAGGCCCGAGTATCACCAGTTCAAGCACAGCCAGGGATGCTGCAATTTACAGAGACTGTTTCCCCAATAAAATATAATTAAAATAAAATATAAAAAACTAGTGTATTTCTGCTCCTGGATTCAATTCACAGTACCGAAAATAAATGTCTTAAATTGCTAATAAGTGCTATAAATTTCTGTATTTGATTGTGAGCCCTTGGGGTAGGTCCTGGATGTTGTGTCTTATTCTACCCCTGATGTGCAGAAACACATGGTCAGGTCAAGAACTGCCAGAAATGTAAGCAAGTCCTAGAGCAGTATAAACTCCAGGAACCTTTCATACAACTGTGTATTATATTTAAGTTGTCTTCAGTTGCCAGAGGAATTGTATCAAATGATAAAAACCTGAATTACACCAGAACAAGATCAGTGAGCAAATATTTTATGCCTCTTACTGCGAAGTCAGAGAGAAGAAATCTGGCAGCTGCTCCCAAAAGAGAAACATGATGAGCCCGGGTAGAAGTTATGCTGAAAGAGATTTCAGACAAAGGGAAGATGTGGTGCCTGGCCCAGACCCACAGCTTCACCTGCTGATGTTGCCAAGTGACTCTCTTCTGCCACATGGTGGCCACTGCACACAGGCTGCTGGGGTACCAGAGGCTTCCTAAGTTTAGGTATAGATGCAGGATCAGCTCTTCATATCTGTGATTGCCTGATCTATGACCTGTTGGCCCCAGGCTAGAGATTTCTCTTCTCTGTGCGGCCCTTGCACCTCTCAACACCAGGCACAAGGAACTTAGATTACCATGAAAATGTGAACAGCTTCATTTAGAGGAGGAGGGATCAGGGCCCACTTCACACATCTCTGCCCTTAATTCTGGGATTGTGGGTGCTCATGAGGGTGGTACTGTTGCTTCACACTGGCAGGCAGTGGACTCAGTTCATATGCAAATACTTGAGGACTATGCATGTGGATGGTGGTGCCTGCTGTACCGAAGACAGAGACACTAGATCAGATATTCAACATATTTTTGCAGATCTAGTATTGTCTGAGCAAAATTCTACCCTGGGAATTCAGCATGATGAAGATACAGCCTTTGGGCTCAGGAGTTTCCCATCCTGTTGGTGGGTGTGCAGTAGTCACACTGAGGTTATGGACTCAAGAGGGGATCCCTACCACGTTCTATTTGCTCACGATGCCCTGTGGTTTCTTAAATCTAGATCCCTTTCAATAGTTCCCTCTATTAAGATTGACCACGGGAAGTACTGCTGTTCCAATGGACACAGCAGTCTGTTGGCTGGGTTCTTCTTGGGGAAATGTTGCAAGTATGAAGCAAGAAAGCAGAGCAGACTTGTGAACCACTTTTCCTCTTGAATACGGATGTTGTAGCTGGAACCGAAGCAGCCATCTCGCAAGTTTTTAGGCAACAGAAAGCTGGTATATTTAATGAAGAGTGGCTCTCAGGAAAACAAGAAGCATCTATTTCCAGCTTCATCTCTGTAAGTGAAAAATATGTTATCATTTGTTTTTTACTCAAGTGGCCACCTACGTCTTTTCACTGAAAGAGCATTCCTGCTTGATTAGCGAGGTCATGGATAAAATACATCACTTCATAGGAAATCAGAGGGAAGAACCTCCCCACTCCTGTTCATAGGCAGATAATTTGTGGAAAGATCAGAGAGTGGCCCATTGTGATTCTGTCATCAGAAGTCACCTCCCTTCTTGTTGTGGTGGCTCTGGAGCTGCAGCGGGGGTGGACTGAAGGGACTCAGGGCAGGAGTGTGTGGAGGGAGCTGCATCTCCTTCTGATAAGAGGAGTGAGGCGTGTGAGGATCTGAAAAGACAGTGGGAAACTGAATGGGCTCCTGGATTGGAGCTACTTTAGTTCAGATGGGGGAGATTTTTTTAAGTGAAAATCTGGGGCAGGAATGAAGTGCATCAAGAAGGTAGCACAGAGCTCAGAGGCCGCTGTGGTTCCAGAAAATAGCGTGTGGAAATGTGGGGATTCTTTCCTGTGTAAATATCGAGAAAGGTAACAAATGGTTGTAGATGCCGCAGCAGGAAGGATATGCAGCATGTTCCAAGGTGGCTCTTTTAGGTCCTCCTATGTGCATATCTGTATCCAGGAGAATGTGTAGGGGAATTGATAATGGGAACAGGAACAGTTTGTTTAGGTCAAACCCTCACTAGAGAACCCCAGTGTAGTCCATGGAATTTTGAAACAAGGCCGTGTCATCTGCAGTACAGAATGACACACCTTTGAGAAATAGCTCTTGGTGCCGCCCTAGGTCCTGGTTGATACACACAATGTGGGAGGCCAAGTGACTATGCCCCAGAATTATGAGATTCCTTCAGCCATGAGGTCAGCCAGACCAGCTCCTGGAATCAAAAATGGGTTTCTTATTTTCATTTGTGGGCTTTGGTAGATTTTAGTGACTAATTTAATAGAATAAGATATACTTTGTAAAATGGATTACATTTACAGTTTTGGTTAGAGGAGTGAAAATAATGTGTTTTTAAAACAAGATGTCAAGGGTACAGGCAAATAAGATTCCATTCAGTAAGTTATACCTGTCGGTGTACATCTACTGCCACACTGTGTAGACACAAAGAAACTGCATCTCCTGCCCTTGGATTTACCTCTGGGGTGGATCTGATTCTCCAATACTCTCATAGCACAGACTATCTCCTATCTCAGGCTCTGTTTTTATTTTATAAAGATGCATGGGAAAATTAGAACTAGATGGGGCATCTGGACATTTACACTGGGAGTTCCAGAGAGAAACTATGTTTTCTCGGTGTAGAGAGCCCCGCAGTGGCCCATGCTTGGAACAGCTGGCTTTATTCATTGTGTATCCTGAGCTGAAGTCTGGAGATGGAGAGCTATACCCAGGTTGTCTTAAAAGTAATGAGGGAGGCAGCACTGGGCATGAGGTGGGATCACCACAGAGTGCTCTAGAGCTGGCGCTGAGGACTCTAGGACCACGCTAAATGGGGCAGGACTGGGACTCAGGGCCTTAAGCTGTTAATAAACTGAATCTTTCTGAGAGGGACGTGATCCTGGCAGGTGTTTTCTGAAACAAACAAAAAACACTTTCAATTGAGAGCACTATTGTAAGCTGGCAGAACTCCTAGCTTGAGTGGGAGGAGGTCATCTGAGTCAGCTCATATGGGGCCATGGAGGATGTAAGAGAGGAGAGGGGAGCAGAGGGGAGGTGAGGATAGGGGAGGAGAGGAGAGGGATCTGGTTATTACCAACCATTTGAACTGTTTCATCCCAACTACTCAGGTTTTGCATGCGTTGATCTTAGTGTTTTGGGTAATTCAGCTCAAGGTTCTGGGGGGCTGAGTGTAGGGACCAGGTCTGGGCAGGTCTTTTGTTCAGGATCTGAGGAAAGGGAGAAAGACACAGGTCCAGATTCTGGCAGGGAAGATCCCAAAGCCCACAGCAGAGGTGGGTGCCCCAGGCCAAATATAGGGGAAACATATGGAAATTGCGTGCATATCCTCTTCCCTTTGGGCTCCTTATTGAGCATTAATGGAGAACATTTTATGAGCTTTGAGGTGAGGAGATTGAGGTGGAGTTGATGGGCCCCAATTTGCTCTACTTAGTTTTGTAGTCATGAAACCATCTGGCATCCAGGATCCCCCCAAAACAGTCACCTTCCAGGGACAAACCCTATGACCACTTCACCAACTTCCTGAGCTGTAATATGTCCTAGTTCCAAATCATCTGGTCTATTGATGTCCCAGAAGCCAGGGTTTCAACTGGACTGGTATCTGCTGAACGGCCATCTAAAACACCTGACTCAGTGGAAGGTGGAACATTGAACCCTCACCTTATTTCTCCTCTTTCTGGGATTCCCTGGTATTTTTTTGTCACATCATTTTCATTTCATTAGAATATAGAGTGGTGTCACCAACTTTTTAATGCATCCACTTCAGCTGTGACATCTATCTGTTAAATCACCACTTGCTTCAATAGATTCACCACACTTCTAGTCTTGTTTTACATGTGGTGTTTGTTTTCCTCTGGCATCTCCTTTCTCACAACAGACTAGCAACTGGCACTGAAAACAGAATCTTTCTCCCTCCCTCTACCTCTCCATCAGTGTCTTATGTAATCTGAATCAAATGTCAGAAAAAAACTGACTGAGAAACCCACTACAGACTGTGTGTTTTGTGAATAGTATATCCCCAAGATCCTGGTTGCACAAGCCTGTAGGATGCAGGATCCTGTCACTGAACCCAAGGCAACACCAGGGTCAATTCTATGACCTTCCTCAGGCAAGAGTCCATGGCACTCAGCAGAGTCTCCACCAGGAGCGGCAGATGGTGGATGCTTTATCCAGGGATGAGCTC